TTACATTTTTAAACATTCCTCAAAATTCTAAACTGCAGAATATGCATTTTTAAAACAGCTTTTAATAAATAATTATATATATACTCGTATGTTCTTGATACTTGCAGTTATAAGGGGTTATTACACTATCGAATATATACGACAACAATGTAAATTTATGAGTAATAAATGTTGGGCGGAGACATAAATGATCTTACCCGTTTATTATTCAATTATACAAGATATTTTAAAATATATGGAAGCCGATAGATATTTTGCCCGTGGACACTCATATTGTATACTTATACGAATGCATTGTAATACCCAATTTTTGGATGTTTTAATTTGATAGGGCTAAAAAGATTTTAGACCTTTTAATTTGACAAATTACATTGGTGATTTTTTTTTTTTCATTTTAAGTTAATGTAAATCGAAAACTATCTTTCGACGAATTTAAAAGTTTAGTAGAGAAATTAGACTTAAAATGAAGCATATATATATATATATATATATATTTATCTTTTTTATTTAGAGGCTTTTATCCTATAAGGATATGTCAGCCTCATCATACCTTATAAAATTAAAATACCTTTTAAAATACATACTTAAAACATTGATACATGAATAAATAATACATAATATCTTAGTAGTCTATTTTCATAAAGGGAATTATTGATACAAAAATATAGTAATTAAAGATTGAAGCAAATATGAAAAGAAATGTTGTTTAACATAACACAAATTTTGACATAACATGGTCTGATCGCAAACATTTTGAGTGTGATGGTAAAGCCACATAAATGCGTCGACCAGATGAATACATAGGTAGAAGAAACCTTGATATGTCTATACTTAAGACACCTCCATGCGGCAACCCTAAAAAACGTTAGACGTCATGGTCCAAGATATGGAAGCCAATGATCTCTCCACGAAGGATACTGAAGATCGAACAATGTGAAGAAATTTGAGTCGGAAGACCTACCCTGATAAAAGCAGGAATAATAACGCCAAGTAAAAAAAGAAGAATAAAAAGATATATTATATAAGTTATAAACAATACAAGCGGTCTGTATATATGAAATTGATCAACATTATGGTATTTTAAAACATAACAGTATGATTCTATATATGCGAGAGTGTAATAAATGCCTAAAATTGATAATTAAACGACGAACTCTCCACGGCATGAAACCTTGGTCACAGTTGTCCTGTTATGTGTGATGATAAAAGTAAATGAGTATAGGAATAATATTAATTAATTTTGTATTATGTAAAATGGAGTATATTGATAGAGCAGTCGGGGTTACCATTCCAAATTTAATCTTATAAAAAGTACATTAATATTTATTTTATACTTTTGTTCTGTTTACACATATTTTAAATAAACAATCAGGACTTAATGCGATTAAAAAATCTTTGCAGGTAAAAAGTACCTACATACCTGTGTCTTAATTTCAAAGGTTTTTCATCGCATTAAGTCCCGAGTGTGTATTTAATGTTGGTAAGTTCATGAGATAGAAATAATTGAATTACATACATGTTGATAGTAATATAAGTATATATATATATACAAGTATTGTCAGTCGCATAATACCGGGCATTAAAACTCATTATACCGAATACTAATGCTCATTATCCCGGATTTGTGATTCAACAACCCTAGTGGCGCCAAGCGTAACAATGGTTGCGTTAGTTGACTGTATACCTGCAGCTAATACCTAAAGTTTCTCTTTAAGTATATACATATAAGGCAATATGTGCATATACATATGTAATAAATAGAACTTGGCGTATTATACTTATAACGATATAAATGGTAGCTTTTATGTGGCTTTCAAATTGAAATTTAAAATTAGGGGAGATACTTTATTTTAAGTTTTCGTGTTGTTTAAAGTTTGCAACTCGGATTTAACGGAGGGGAAAGGGATTGTTAGTAAAGGGGTCTAACACTCTTATTGCGGGGAAAAGGGATTGTTAGTAATGGAGAATGAGAATCCCATTGCTAGCAATATATCCAACCAGGTCGACCTCCTCGCGGTTCTCCCTGGAAACTATCATGATTAATTCCTGAGTCGCCAATAGATATGAACAGTAACCGTCGCCAATAGATATGAACAGTACCATGGACATAACATAGTATACTGTGTCACCTATGTTTCCCTCAAACGTTGCCATTCCTAAGGACTAAAATGTTATGACTGTATATCCTGTAATTTTACTGCCATATCCCACCAAAACGGTAACAGCCATGCAAACGTAATTACTTCACGTAAACAATAATTATATATTAATAATTTTACGAGTCCCAAATGCATAGTTATGCATTTAAAATGCTTTGAAATGAACTACTTTTTTATGCTGCTCATAATAAACAAGTGACAGCCCTCTTAATAAAAAACATTGCCACACTGAAGCGAATCTACTCTATTAGTAGCAACCGACAGACCCTCAAATGGGAGTCGTAAAATAAAAAGAACGCATGACCCATTCCATACGAAATACGGTCGGCGCACTCCGGGGAATTAGCAAGTGCTCTCGTCAGTACTGCACAGGTAAAATGTCCCTAATGTTACTTTGAGTACCGCCACTGAGCTCTCCCGCGGCTAACCAGAGTTGATTGGGCCACCTCAAACTTTTATGCATTAGAGTGGGCTGATAGGACTTTGTATATCAGTAATAAGCCGCACCGTGTCCCTTATGGGGTGGGCAAAGACAACATGATATCAAATAGTCCTTAGACGCTTATTGATTTGGGCACGTAGAAAAAATATCGTACCGTACATTTGTAATACAAAAGTGGAAGTCCGCAGTTACTGAAGGAGGATTATACCATTACTTAAGACATGTGCGGGAGGAGTCAAGAGTCTCCGGAACTAGTATACTTATATACGTGAACTAACTTATAAAATTGGATAAACCAGAACATATATGTAAGATGAAGATCACAAATCCCAACGAAGACAGTTTTTTCCTGAGGTTTTCTTTAAAGACTTATATGCGGTTTTTCAAAAGCGTAAGCGTATTGCAATATCTTCAGGATTGGCAATGAGTGCATATATGAAAAATGCCATGCTGTGTAGTCCTGACATAGAATGGGCCATCCCTTCCTTTCTTGTGAGTGTCATAAGACGCGATTAAGGGAATGTAATGGGTAAGAGACAGACAGCAAAGCCCCTCTAGGGGGGAGAGGGATTGTTAGTAATGCGGACTACCAGTCCCGTTTCTAGAATACACCTTATCAGGTCGACCTCCCGTGGTCCTTTCTGGGAACCATTGTGCTGAATTTCAGGTGTATTCATCACGGTGGGCTAACTAACTTGCCCTTTCATGTCTCCTATCATCCCTCACTGATTCCATTATTATTCGTTAAAAAAATACAAGGTCCCTCATTAAACATAACCAAAAACCTAACTGCAATTACCTGCTGCTGATTTTCACCATCGTACAACGCGCCATAAACTAAAATTTCATCCCAACCATCTGGACTAGTGGCGGTCCTCCACCGTGCGTTTTTCAAGGCACTTTCTTCCACGTACAACCACTCTTTGGAATCAACTTCCAGCAGCAGTATTTCCGAACCGATACGACAACATAACCTTCAAAAAAAGAGCACATTCCTTTTTAAAAGGCCGGCAGCGCACCTGTAATTTAGTGTTAGTGTTGTGGGTAATCATGGGCGGCGGTAGTCACTCACCACCAGGTGAGTCCCATGCTCGTTTGCCCCCTGTGTTGCAAAAAAGAAAAATTTCCAATGCATCTGCCAAGTGTGGCAACTATTGGCAAAACGTATATATATGTTTATCAGCGGACAGTTAACAATTGATGTGACAATATGGTGTGACATGAAAAATAGCTTGAGATCGTTCTTTATGGCAGTCTATGGGCTCCCCCATAGCTTATGTTCAGCGGCGGAGAAATAACTGTCGATACGAGTATGATGATGATGACATGACATTCCTGGTATTACAAATTTTCTTTGATTACAGTAACTAAAAAAAGTTTTTACTTTTTAATATGGTATTAAAAATCAAAAGAATTTAAAGCTAAGGCCAAATAACTAGTAATAATCGTATATCTTGTAGTGCCAAAAACATTAGACCGTTTATATTGTTTAAAGTCTCCTAGATCATATATGTTTTTTTTTATGGATGATAATGGAATTGTAACTCCATTCGCGCTATGGACCTACATAGGTGATGCACCAGTAAGATAGAATAAATAAGAAAGCTGATCAGTTAGTTTAACGTAATGAATTTACTAAGAATAAATCAATAAAATAATAAGATTGTTTCTAGGGAGAACCGCGTGGAGGTCTATCTGATATGGTATATGCGTAGCAAAAGAACCACCAGTCTCAATTAATAACAATTCAAATATATTATCAGAGAATAAATGGTTTGCCTTTTGACCCATAAAGCAACTGACAATATTTCTACATAATCCTAATGTTGATTTAAAAATACAGAAGTTTAAGCTGAAATTTGATCATGGAATCCCCCGACTACAGTCAAGCGTTCAACAAAATGAGCTCCCGCCACTTATTGTCAGAAAAGTCCTCTTTAATTTTGTCAAAAAGAAAATGATGATAAAACGCTTCGCGATTGAAAACTCCCTGTGGTGTCGCTGCCATTATGGCGGAATAATTAACTGACACTCAATATTTATATACAATGATTGATGTTAATCTTGCGAAATGTTCTTTACTCGGTATTTATATTTCTATAGTGACTTCGTTAACAGTTAAAATATTTCCCGTAGATCAAATTCAATTTTGAGAGTCATTAGCACAGCAATTAGTCAGCAAAGATAGCAATTAACGTAAAGTATCTCGGACGGACACCGAAGATTAATTTATCAAGTCTTTATTGGTTAACATTGGAGTTGGCGACGCAATCGCACTAGTCACGGAATGTCCCGAAGAGATACTAATCCAAATATTTTATTAAGGGAGATAGTTAATACAGGGGGACGAAGAAAAGTTGATATATTAATTAACTCGTGAATAAGTTCGCCAGGCGAAAGAGTCACTTTGTTCCACGCACGCGCAATAAGTGATTTTGAAGTTACGCCCTTATGTAGTGTTGACGCGGCATTCGTAGGGGATACACGTTAGATTCGTGACAGAACTCGAGATTTTAACCTACAAAATCGACGACACTGAATTCTGTAACCGTCGGTTGTGTTAACATGAATGGATAATGCGGTGTGGCTCATACGTCTGGCGGTTCAGTTTAGAGTTTCTCAGTTCAATGCTTGTGTTTGTTTGTGTGATACAAAACGATGTGTTTTATAATGGACGGGAGAAGTTTACTCGAGTTTACGGTGAGTGTTGTGATCGTATACACTTAGATTTAAGGGTGATAATTGATTGAACTGTAAATGTTTTTTTTTTACCGCAATAACAAAAAGTTTTATTTTCACATTTACGCGCCGCTGTGTTATGTGTGCGTGTGAAAAGTAAATGTGAACTGGAAGGAATTCTGTTAATTTGCAGATATGTAATTTAAAAATAGTTCTGTTACGCTAGATACTTTTGGTGTATCGCGTTAGTACGTAATGAAACACATGAGAGATTCTTATCATGATTGCTTTATTCGCGTTTATTGCAAACGTCCAAGGTTCTTGGGTCATTATAATTAACAAAAGCTATCAACACATTAAAATCTAGGTTTTATCATCATGTTCAAATACAAATACATACAATGCCAACTATGGCCTCGTTAGTACATTATGTATATATATATATATATATATACGTTAATATTTATATTTCTATAAAAAGTAAGTACCTACTATACCTACTATTTTGAATCATATTTATAACTGCATAAAATCTAAATTATTTATTTATTTATTTAATTAGCATGCGAATACATATAAAAAAACTTAAGAGTTTTTAGTGCCACTTAAACCTCTTGGGCTTGTGTGTGGCACTTTACATTTCGTTGTAATAAAATAATAAGCACTGACATTAATATTTAGCTGTTTTAGCAAAATAATCTGATTATATTTTATTATATGTTCAACATATATTTTACCTGCATGAATTTTAATAAAAAAAAAAGTAACTTACGTATTAATCCTGTGTATGGTCTATTTTTCTACAAAATTTCATTTAATTCTATTCAGTCGTTAAAAAATGATTGTGTCATTAATATCAAACATAAAAACATCAATACAAATTTTCATATTTATAATATTCGTGGTTTTATATTGAATCACGAGTAGATGCCAGGCTTAAAGATTATTCTTACTATAAACTTACTTAAAGATTATATTACTGTATAAATGGGTTACGATCTTCGCCAGATTTTTGGAACAAGTATATTCTAATTTTATTAAAAAAAAAATGGTATTTTGTATTAATATTTTATCACGAAAAAATATGTTAATAAAAAAAACTTATTTTAATATTTCATCGTAAAAAACTTGCTTACTTATCCAAAATAACTAGAATTATCCTTTAAATGAAAGACAGATTTTATTTCTTTTTCTATAGTATTTCACAAATATCAGTCGAGGATTCTTTAGATACAGAAGGTTTTCCTAAATAACTTATAAAAGGAATAATATTGTATATTTCAAAAGAAAGGAGTTTTCGAGATGACTGTATTTTTGTGTGTTAGTTACGTGATATTAACAAAAAGGTTTAGGTAATATGAATATATTCTTTTTTTTTTCTGTAAAAAGTCCGAAATTATAATCTAGTAGTTTTCTAAAATTGTCATAGTAAATTCAATTTAATATTATTAGTTATTATAATGAAATAAAATTACTGATAATTAGGTATAATTTATCATGAGTATTGTAATTTGTGAAATGAATTTAATCTGTAAATATAATAGATAGATATTTAACACAGAAAAATATATGTATTTTAATTAATTAAAATTTAGATATCTATAATTAAATTTATTTTATGTAATATAACTGAATAGGGACAATCCACAATGTAATTAGGCTACTTAAATACTAATACAATAATAAATAATATATATAAAATAATAATAAAATAAAAATATATATTTTGTTGCTATAATTTATCATTGTTATTAAAATTTATCGTCTTTTGCTTTTACGTACGTAACGTTGATAAACTTTATTGAACTTTTTACTGCACCTTATATTCAAAACAAACAATAATTTTATATTATTTTTTACAGATAAACAAAACGGTAACATTTACGGAATATTACAAAAGGTTGTTGTTACCTTTTTAGGCAATCTTATCTTCTTTACCTTTCCCGTTTCACCACAAAAACAATAAATTCAGTTACTTGAATAGAAATATGCCAGTGCCACATGGACCTAATTGTGTATATTTCTTTTAATTACATTTGAAGTAGGTGTATTCTTATATACTTTCTGAAGTTACCTGTTATATACATATATAAAACAAGTATATTTATTTTTAATTAGGTAATATAATAATTCGTTGTTTATACTGTGACTTCTTGAAACATGTAAAAAAATAAATATTGTAAAATATAAAAAGAAAATAGATATGCAAAAATTTTATTTGTCAAAATATGAATTTAATATTAATGGGCGATTACCACTTTCCATCAGGTGGACCGTCAGCTTGTTTGCCATACTAAGTTGCATAAAACATATTTGCTTTTTTTCTTATAATTTTACATCGTAAAAAGTAACTACTGTTCTTGTATTAATTTGTGATGTTTCTATTTAGAATGTGTCTGTGTGCATTTAAAATTTTTAGAAATATTCACTTTTTCTGAATAGTTTATTTTTTTATAAATACGTCGCGCATATAAATAATAAAAATATTTTAATAATATTATTTTACATTAGTGAAACAAAATACAAGTATTTTTTATACCACTGAGGTAGAAAATAAGCATACAGCCCACTCGATGGTAAGCAGTTGCCGTAGCCAATGAACTTTGAATAAACCTCTTTACCCCTTTTTTAAAGAGCCCCATGCTGTAGAAGTTTGAATAATATTTAGTTACCTGAATAAGTTTCGAAATTTAATACGAGTAAAGAATAAGTTTAGTAAGAAAGTAAGTTCTTATAAAAAGGTAATAAATAGAAACCGGTCCGCTTCCTGAAATATTTGCGAATCGACGTTCAATTTCATAAATTATTTCCCATCATTTTGGCAATGTTGCAAAGTTTTTTCGATCAAAAAATTCTTTGGTTTTTAATTAATGCTTTCAATCAAGCCGAGAGTATACCGTACATAAAATATAAAGAGGAATAAAGCAAGAAAAATTATAAACGGAAAGTTTGATAACCTTTCAGAGTTTCAGGACATTTTGCCGGCAATGTTGGTCTATTGCTAAAGTTAGACGTTGGCATGTTGGCAGAATTTTATGTTTGACTAACTTCAAGGGAAAAATAACGCCAGAAATCTTTTGAGTATTTCAACTATTTGAATTCCGAGAGTTATGCTTCTTTGAACAATAAACGAGTCCTTACTAATGTTGAGTAACAATAATAGATTCTAGGATTGAGATAAGAGAGTTTATCATAGACAAGAATGAATGTATGTAAATGTGTAATTCATTTGTATTGTATGACATTTGTTATATTATTGACTTGTTATGTATTTGTTTTTGTTTAGTTTGTATTTGTATTTATTTAGTCTGCTACCATTAGTATGTGTGCGGCTGCCAATATTTATGGATTGATCCTTGTAGGCTATTAATATACGTAAGCCACTAAATTATAATACTAAATTTGCATGCCTTTAGATAAGGCGAAATGTGTAGATCTATTATATTTAAGACCATTATTATAACTACATTTCTAGCAAATAAATAAATTATTATTATTTTTTAAATTTCACTAAAATTCTCATCTCCCCTCTTAAGGAGAGGAGATGGCAACTAACCCCCGGCAGAAGCACAGTCGGCCGGGGTTCAGGGCCCCAGGGAGAGAAACCGGCGTACAATGCGGGCAGAATCTAAGAGCACCGCTTTCTGCATCTTTCCCGGGAGTGAGCCGCCTCGGAATCCCAACCGTCTGAGATGTTGTTCCAGACTGGTTGGGATAAGACCGTTCACCGACATAACGATTGGGATGATTTCGGTAGATGTCACCCCCCACATTTCGGTCACCTCGTGAGCCAGGTCGAGATATTTTCTCTTCTTCTCGGTTTCGGCTTTCACGAGGTTCTCGTCATGCGGTATGGTGACATCCACCAAAAACACCCTCGAGAGTGCCCGATCCATCACCACGATATCAGGTTTGTTCGCAAGAACGGTCCTGTCCGTGATGATGGATCGGTCCCAGTAGAGCCTTACGCTGTCGCTTTCGAGGACCGGCTGGGGCTCGTACTTATAGTACGGCAACCTCTCATTCGCGAGGCCGTACTTCAGAGCTAGCTCTTGATGGAGTATTTTGGCTACCTGGTTGTGTCTGTGCAAGTACTCAGTGTTGGCAAGAGCTGAACAACCCGAAAGCACATGTCTGAGTGACTCTCCGGGATGGCGACATGCCCGACAGATGTCCTCAGTGCCATCCTTCAGAATGTGCTTTCGGTAATTGTTCGTCTTAACCACCTGATCCTGTATTGCACAGACAAAACCCTCGGTCTCTCCGAAGAGATCACCGAACTGTAGCCAGTGCACGGAGGTCTTCGTGTTTACGTACGGCCCGTGAAGGGCTTTGAAGAACCTTCCGTGCAACTCCTTCTCTTTCCATACGGCCTCCCGCTGAGAGGTACCCAAAACTTCGGGTTTTCGCCAGTCCTCTTTAGCCAGAGAAAGAGGGGTGAATCCTTTGTCACATTCTACGACCTCTCTATGCAAACCCTCGTCTATTTTCTCCAGAAAATATGTCCTGAGGCTGTCAACCTCGCGGTTGTGCATGGTCTTAACACTTAACAAGCCTCGACCACCAGCCTTCCGCGGGATATACAGCCTCATGACTGACGATTTCGGGTGATGCATTCTATGGAGGGTCATAGTTGTGCGGACTTTCCGATCCAGGGCTTCGAGATCGGTTTGAGACCATCTGAGCACGCCAAAAGTGTAAAGGAGTACGGGTATGACCCAGCCGTTATAAGCTCGGATTTTATTGGCGCCCGACAAAGAACTTTTCAGTACTCTTGTAAGGCGCGCAAAAAATTCTTCGCGGACTGACTGTTTCATATCCGTCTCCTTCACACCGATGTTTTGTGACATGCCCAGATACCGGTATGTTTCAGCCTCTGAGAGGGTTTTAATATTAGAGGGATCTGTTATTATTATTATTATTATGGTTATAGAAAGGAAAAATTATGACAGACAATATAGTAACTTTCAGGTTAGTCCTTCAAATTAACCTAAAGAGTACAAAAAATCCTCTCTAATGTT